CGATACGTTTGCGGGTGCTCGAAATTATTTCGGGGATGCGTCCTTAAGTACGACGGGAGCAACATAATACTGGGTATGGTGGACGCATGCGGGCACCCCCAATGGGGACTTCGGTGGAGCTCCTTATGGGGTCACGAAACGTGTGAGGGGTGTGCCAAAGTGAGGGGGTGACGGGAGGAGGGGGGAGGGGGGGAGGAGGAGGAGAGGAGAGGAACGCGGGGACCGTCTCTTCAAAACGAGGAGCCAACACCACAGGATGGTGGGAACAAAACCACAAGATTGCCCACACTTGGCAACCTGAACATCGATGAAGTCTCGAGCGGGATCCCCCCTTCCTAGGGGGCCTGCACTTTATAATACCAATCCGGGGCGGGCATCGGGATACCTGTAAAACGACCGGGTGTCTCACACATGGCAACCTGAATCTCGAGGAAGTCTCCAGTGGGAGCCCTTCCCCATGGGGCCCGCACTTCACGTTACCACTCCGAGGCGGCCATTGGGATGGCTGTTTAAACACAAGCTTTCTCACACTTGGCACCTGAATCTCGAGGAAGTCTCGAGCGGGAGACCAACAGGCCCCACCGTTCCCACAGGCCCCACAAGTCCCACAGGGCCCACCAGTCCCAAAGGTCCCACAGGTCCCACAAGTCCCAGAGGTCCCACAGGTGCCACAAACCTTACAGGTCTCACAGGTCGCACGGGTCCCACAAGTCCCACAGGTGCCCAGGCCCCATCAGACCCACAGGCCCCACTGGTCATACAGGCACCGCAGGTCCCAAAGGCCCCACACGTCCTACAGGGCTCGCAAGTCCCACAGGTCCCACAGGCCCATCGGGTCCAACAAACCCCACAGGCCGCACAAGTCCCAAGGGCCCCACAGGTCCCACAGGTCCCACAGGCCCCACCAGGTCGCACAGACCCCGCAGGTCGCATAGGTCCCACGGGCCCAACAGGTCCCACAAGCCCCGCGGGCCTCGAAGGCCCCACGGGACCCACGGGCACAACAGGTCACAAGGGCCTCACAGGTCGCATCCAATATCCTGCGCACTGAAAATATCATCATGCGGGGTCCGACAGACAGTTGTGTATGTGATTTGAACACGCGCATGCGACAATATATCCTCGTTTACCGCGGACGAGAAGACCTGCGACATGTCTGGCCGTCCCCTTCCCCTCGGTGTCCCCTCCCCCGAACAACCAAATCCTGGCGAATGACCCAACCATAGGCAGTTGTGGATACCGCAATTGTGAATGCCTTCTTCGGTGGGACCCCCTACGGGGCCACGAAACGCTGTATTGGGTGTGGGGGACGCATGCGGGCACCCCCACTGGGGCCGTCGGTGGAGCCCCCTATGGGCCACGAAACGTTGTACTGGGTGTGGGGGACGCATGCGTGGTGGGTGAGGGGAACGCATGCGGGCGGTAGCGCTGGGACCTTCAGTGGAACTCCGTATGGGGCCACGACACGCTGTACTGGGTGGGGGGGGGGACGTATGCGGGCACCCCCACTGGGGCCGTCGGTGAAGCTCCCCATGGGGCAACGAAGCGCTGTACTGGGTGTGGGGACGCATGCGGGCACCCCCACTGGGGCCTTCGGTGGAGCTGCCAATGGGGCCACGACACGCTGTACTGGGTGGGGGGGGGGCATGCTGGCACCCCCACTGGGGCCTTCGGTGGAGCTCCATATGGGGGCACGACACGCTGTACTGGGTGGGGGGCGCATGCGGGCACCCCCACTTGTCCTTTTGGTGGAGCTCCTTATGGGGCCACGAAGCGCTGTACTGGGTGGGGGGAAACGCATGCGGGCACCCCCACTGGGGCCTTCGGTGGAGCTCCCGATGGGGCCACGAAACGCTGTACTGGGTGGGAGGGGAACGCATGCGGGCACCCCCGCTGGGGCCTTCGGTGGAGCTCCCTATGGGCCCCCGAAACGCTGTACTGGGTGGGGGGAGGCGCATGCGGGCACCCCCACTGTGACCTTCGGTGGAGCTCCCTATGGGGCCACGACACGCTGTACTGGGTGGGTGGGGGGCGCATGCTGGCACCCCCACTGGGGCGTTCGGTGGAGCTCCATATGGGGGCACGACACGCTGTACTGGGTGGGGGACGCATGCGGGCACCCCCACTGGGGCCTTCGGTGGAGTTCCCTACGGGGCCACGAATCGCTGTACTGGGTGTGTGGGGGGGGGCGCATGTAGGCGGTAGCACTAGTGCCTTCGGTGGAGCTCCCTATGGGGCCATGGAACGTGTGAGGCGTGTGCCAAAGTGAGGGGGGTGACGGGAGGAGGGGGAGGGGGGGAGGAAGAGGATGAGAGGACAGGAACGCGGTGACCGCCTCTTCAAAACGAGGACCCAACACCACAGGATGGTTGGGGAAACAATTACCCTGGCGAATACCGCAATTGTGAATGTTTTCTTCGGTGAGGCCCCCTACAGGGACCACGAAGCGCGTGACTGGGCGGGGGGGCGTCGGTGGAGCATCACTATGGGGCCACGAAACGCTGTACTGGGTGGGGGGGGCGCATGGGGGAACCCCCACTTGGCCCTTCGGCTGAGCTTTCCTTGGGGCCACGAAGCGCTGTACTGTGTGGGTGGGTGCGTGTGCAGGCGGTAACACTGGGACCTTTGGTAAAGTTCTCTATGGGGCCACGAAGCGCTGCACTGGGTGGGGGGGAACGCATGCGGGTGGTAGCGCTGGTACCTTCAGTGGAGCCCCGTATGGGGTCACGAAGCGCTGCACTGGGTGGGGGGAACGCATGCGGGTGGTAGCGCTGGGACCTTCAGTGGAGCCCCGCATGGGGCCACGAAGCGCTGTAGTGGGTGGGGAAGGGCGCATGCGGGCGGTAGCACTGCGGCCGTTGGTGGAGCTCGCTACGGGGCCACGACACGCTGTACTGAGTGTGGGGGGGCGCATGCAGGCACCCCCACTTGTCCTTTTGGTTGAGCTCCCTATGGGGCCACGAAGCGCTGTACTGGGTGGGGGGAAACGCATGCGGGCACCCCCACTGGGGCCTTCGGTGGAGCTCCCGATGGGGCCACGAAACGCTGTACTGGGTGGGAGGGGAACGCATGCGGGCACCCCCACTGGGGCCTTCGGTGGAGCTCCCTATGGGGCCCCGAAGCGCTGTACTGGGTGGGGGGAGGCGCATGCGGGCACCCCCACTGTGACCTTCGGTGGAGCTCCCTATGGGGCCACGACACGCTGTACTGGGTGTCGGGGACGCATGCGGGCACCCACACTGTGGCCTTCGGTGGAGCTCCCTACGGGGCCACGACACGCTGTACTGGGTGGGGGGGACGCATGCGGGCACCCCCACTGTGGCTTTCGGTGGAGCTCCCTATGGGGCCACGAAGCGCTGCACTGCACTGGGTGTCGGGGACGCATGCGGGCACCCCCACTGTGGCCCTCGGTGGAGCTCCCTATGGGGCCCCGAAGCGCTGTATTGGGTGGGGGAGGGGCGCATGCGGGCACCCCCACTGGAGCCTTCGGTGGAGCTCCCCACGGGGCCACGAAACGCTGTACTGGGTGCGGGGGACGCATGCGGGCACCCCCACTTGACCCTTCGGTGGAGCTCCCTACGGGGCCACGAAACGCTGTACTGGGTGGGTGGGGGGGACGCAAGCGGACACCCCGACTGGAGCCTTCGGTGGAGCTCCCGATCGGGCCACGAAACGTGTGAGGGGTGTGCGAAAATGAGGGGGGTGAAGGGAGGAGGGAGTTTTTGTTTTGCTGTAGGCGACTGCTCAGGCAAGGGGGGGGAAGAAGACAGGAGAGGATCGCGGGGACCGTCTCTTCAAAACGAGGACCCAACACCACAGGATAGTTGGGAACAAAGCCGTTCGCGGTGAGGTGCGGGGGGGAGATGGGATTGGGCTGGGGGAAGGGGAGGGAGAGCGAGCCCCCCAGGCACCCGAAAGGCTCAAGATGTCCTGTTTTCAAATTTTCGTGGATGCCACCCCCAAAAGCTCAAGGTGACCCAAATTGGCTCCCCAGAAGCCGTAACAGCACACCCAAATTACCCCATATGGGACAGCCATAGACTCCCAAATGGCTCCACCAAGCGCCCCAAGTGCTCGTACTCGCACAAGAGGGTCGGCGTTCGTTCATGTGTCGCGTTCCCTTTTTTCGCCCAATATGGCCCAACAGAGGGCTCAACAGATGCCCTACCAAGCCCAACAGAGACCCAAGAAACTCCAAGACGGCCCAACAACCCCACTGGGTAAACTATACTAAAGCCCCATGTGTTGTATCCCAATTGGTCTGCACAACTGCGTAGGATCGCTGGAAGAGAGCCCCGAGACCCCCTCCCGAATAGTTCGAACACCTCCAGCACGGCCCTACGACCCCTCAAGGGACGCCAAGATGGCTGGAAGAGGCTCAAAGAGCAGCCAGCAGAGCCCAATATTACCCAATATACCCACAAACACACTGTTCGGACAAAAGTGCCCAACATAACATCCACAATGGTTTCACTTCGCCGAAAATCAGCTCCACCTAAATCAGATTCCCTCACAAAAAAATCCACCGGATGCGCAAACCACAGAAGAACATCTTCGCGGGCTTCACCTGCCTGGGTGTCCGGATTGAAACAACTGTGGAAGTGACGGTCTGGGTACGAGTAGAAGCGAATATGCATGGGAACGCATCTGAAACTGAAAACGCACAGGATCCGAAGGCAGAGGAGGTCCGCCACCGTGCCCTGCGCACGCAGGCGCATACAGTTGTGAGAGGTAGAAGGGCTGTCGGAATATCAAGGGCCCAGACCCCCGACCTCTCAGAAGTATTGGGCGCTCCTCAAGTGTACCGCTTGAGCCTCCTGGTGCCCAAGACTGTCAGGAAACCAACGGATTTGAGCGCGTCGGCTTCAAATGGTGCGCCAGGCCAAGCGCCCAGAACGTTTCCAACCCAAGACGAACCCAAGAGCACCTGCATGCTTCGCTTAATTGCCTTAAGCGCAAGGACTTCTCGCACGGACACCAGCCCCTGGCAATGAAGAGACGATAACGTCTGGCACGACCTTCGCCCCCGCCATCTCACGCAGCAGCATCAGTGCCCGCTCCCACTGCCTGGCCTTACCGCATGCACTGATGGCGGTATTGTACAGCACGTCGTCGACTGGCACGCGTGACTGCGGAGCAGATCGAAACAGATCCAGCGCCGCAGCCCACTGCTTTGCGTTCCCCGAGCTCTTGATGCTGGCCGCCAGGGTCGCGCCCAGGGACTGGCACGATGAGGCAGGCATTGGAGCACGCGGGACTCTCTCGGCAAACCTTGACACGCGATAGCTGCAACACTGGGCCCCACCCCATGAGAATGCAGCACTCCAGGTTGAAGGGGCCCAAGGACACACAAATAAACACACACACACACACAGATAAAAATATCCCCCATAGATTCCCACATTTTGGGGGGTCTTCGTCTTTCCCCCCACTTCCCATATTTTCCCATATCTTCTGGGGAATCGACGATGTGCTTCTCTCCCTCCTGACAGGCGGAGCCCCCCGGCAGGGCCCCCTCTCTGACGACGAGCGGCCCGGCCGCAGAGGAGGGAGCGCCCAGGCCAAACCATTCCGCGAGACGCAGCCCCTTGCCCGCCGTGCTGCGCACCGCAGAGGGGACACACGGTGGCCTCCTGGATGGGGTCGGAACAGAGATTGATGGGCCTGTTTTCCACCACCACCACCATAAGTTGAAGGGGGGAAGGAGGTGGAGGAGGAGGAGGTGGAGGAGGAGGAGGAGGACGGGACGAGGAGGAGGAGGCGGAGGAGGAGGAGGAGGAGGACCCCATCCACCTCCAACTTATGGTGGTGGTGGTGGAAAACAGACCCATCAGAGATGGGATCGAAGCGTCGCGCCGCTTCGCCGATGCATCGGCGATGCATCGGCGATGCGTTGGCAATGCACCGGCGACGTCGGCGATGCCTCGGCGCCGTCGGCGTGGCGAGAGTCGGGCTCCGCATCGAGCCGACGTCGCCGAGGCATCGGCGATGCGGCGCGATCCTTCGACCCCGTCTGCTCCGACCCCATCTGGGAAGCATCGGCTTAGCCCAGTACCCCTGCACCCAGTTCTCTCCCATCCGCTGCGACCGTCTCTCTTCCCTTTCCCCCTCTCTCCCGGCACTCCCCTCCTCAAGCGTAGTCTTCTCGGCACGACCTCGAAATCCAACGCCTGGTATATAATTTCGTGAGAGGCCCATTCGATTAGACAGCCCGAGGAGACCTGAAACAGCTCATTCCAATCCGCCGCAGGGAGCCGCGACGACCAAATAAACTCGAACCCCAGCCTCCCCAACCGAAGGCCAAGGAGACATGGGCCGTGAGCCAGAGTGTCACAGGACCGCGTCCACTCTTGATCCCCACTCCCCACGAGGGCAACTGGGGGCCGCGGGGTGATGATGAGACGCGAGCACGAGTCCCGTCCTGGACCTGGTCCACGAGCGAGCGCACAGAAGAGCCACAGAACCGCATGTCAGGAGCAACCGAGTCTTGCCTTGCGCCCCCCCACCCGCACACACACACACACAGACACAGACACACACACACACACACACAGACACATATACACACACATACACACACAGACACACACACACAGAGACACACAGACACACACACACACAAAGACACACACAAAGACACACTCACACACACACGGAGACACACACAGACACATACAGACACACACACACACACACGCGCACACACGCACACACACACACACACACGCACACACACACACACACACACACACACGCACACACACACACACACACGCGCGCACACACGCACACACACACACACACACACACACGCACACACACACACACTTTCACACGTTCACACTTTCACGCACACACACACACACACACACACATACACGCGGGCAGGAAAAGGAAAGCAGGAGGTCAGGCGAGGGAAGGATTGGGAGGGAGGGAATGGACACTCGAAGCAGGGCGCGTCGAGACAAAACGGCAGCGCAAGATCGGCCTCCCGTACCCCTCCCGGGGTCAAGACGCACCAGCTTCCCGAGCTGCGTCCAGCCGTGGCGACGAGGCCCCCCCCCGAAGGCACAAACTATCCTTGCCTCAACTCACCCTGGAGCGACTGCGGGCGAGTGGAGGCGGGCGCATCTCGGGCCCCTCAGCCCCACCCCCCCTATGCGCACCGCTGCCTCGCGACAGCCGCGCCCGCCGCGGGCAAGGCGACTCAGCTGCACGACCGTCGCATGCCGCAGGCCCCCCATGCTGTGGCCTCTCTTGGGCGCGGGCTCCGACACTTCTTTGCTGGCTCGCTGTTGTTTGTGCTTGTCTGATGCTGTGTTGCTGTGTTCCTGCATGCGGAGTTGAAGCAAATACTGATGTATACACGAAGTAAGAAAAGTGCGAGAGACGTACGGAACGAGTTTGGGGGACTTGGGTTGGCCTGACGAGGCCGTCGGAAAAATGGCGGTACCCAGTGTGAGATTGGGCGCGAATTCCCACTGCAAACATCCGACGAAAACTGGACCGCAAAAATTCAGGACGGGCCCGTCAAAAAGCTTAGGAAAAGCCGAGCCCCGGCGAACTCGAGTCTTACGTTTCCCCTGTAGAGAAGTGGCACCCCTACCCCGCCCCCCTCAGGACAAGATGGTTCTTTGCTGGCGTACGAGAAGCGGTGCAAGATACACTTGTCCGCCGCCTGGAATGCCTGCCCCAGGGCGGCTGGCAGGTTTATACCCCTACGGAAGCACGCCATGTGTAAACCTTCCAGCCGCCCTTGCGCAGGCGTCCCCCACGGCGGAGCAGCTTATCTCGGGGGGAAGGGGGGCAGAAAGGTAGGATAGCAAAGGCAGGGCAGAGAATCAGCCCACGCAGCTGGTTTTCCTGGCGCCCCCTGGCGCTGGGAGGCGCCCCTGCATCGAGGCATTGGGACAGTGGCGAGGCCAGAACCAGCTGCCCACAGCAGATTTCGTAATCCCCCCTTCCCCTACCCTGCCATGTCGTCTGGCTGGGCGGCTGCTGGCGCCGCGGGGAAGGAGGGAGGGGAGGGAGGCAGGGAGGGAGGAGGAAAGAGAGTGTAAGGAGGAGAGAGGGAGGAGGAAGAGGAGAGAGAGAGGAGGAGGAGGCGGAGGAGGAGGAGAAGGAGACGGAGAAGGAGAAGAAGGAGGATAACCACTGTAAACCAACGAGTCATCAACGATGTTGGAATCAACCCTCCGTCCAAGCTCCCTTTTTCACTGGCCCCTACAAGGCCTCGTTGGGAGACAACCGTTTGAAGACCCTGAAGCGTGCCAAATCAGTATTCTCGGGACTCCAACGCCACGAAACAACATGACTGCTGCATCTTGACGATATGGAATCGTGCGAGAACACAACTCCTGGGGCTTCAACACCGCGATATAACTGTCGCGCCCTCACAATCCTGAGTCTTTCCAATACACACGTTCCGGCACGTTGACTGTGAAAACCCGTAACACTTATGCAAATGTATAAAACGAACGTGCGCGGCGCCCAGGCGAGAACCACACGTTGAAGACCAACCACCCTAAATCGGTGAAACTCTTCCAAAAGCTTAAAACGAATGTGCGCGGCAAGAAGACGAGAGCCACATGTTGAAAACAACCCGCCCTCAATCCGTATAACGCTTGCAGAATTTCAGAACGAATGTGTGCGGCGCTAACGCGAGAACCACACGTTGAAGACCAACCGCCCTCAATCCGTGAATCTCTTGCAAAAGTTTAAAACGAATGCGCGCGGCATAAAGAAGAGAGCCACATGTTGAAAACCATCCGCCCTCAATACGTGGAACGCTTGCAGAACTTCAAGACGAATGTGCGCGGCGCCACGGCGATAATCACATGTTGAAAACCACCCGCCATCAATCTGCAAAAACCTTCCAAATGCTTAAGACGCGAATGCGCAGAACTAAAGCAAATGCCACATGTTGAAGACCGCCCCCTATCAATCTGCAAAAACCTTTCAAATGTTTAAGACGAGGATGCGCGGCACTAAGACGAGAGCCACATGTTGAAAACAATCCGCCCTCAATCCGTGAAACGCTTCCAGGATGTCGGAAGAATGTGCGCGGCGATAAGGCGAGAACCACATGTTGAAAACCACCCGCCCTCAATATGCCAAGAACCTTCCACATGTTTAAGACGAGTGCGCGTGGCGCTGAGGCGAGAGCCACATGTTGAAAACCACCCGCCCCCACCCCGTGAAACTCTTACAAATGTTTAGGACGAATGCGCGCGGCGCTAAGGCGAAAGCCACATTTTGAAAACCGTCCGTCATTAATGTGTAAGACCCTTGCAAAGATTGAACACGAACGTGCGCAACACTAGGGCGAGAGCCACATTTTGAAAACCACCCGCCCTCCATCTGTGAAGCTGTTGCCAACGTTTGATCGAGCCTCAGGGTCATGCATGGTGATGAACTATCAACAGAAGCGCCCGGCCCGCCATTTCGAACCGCCCTGGAGCGCGACAGAGAGGAGTTATTCATGAGACAAAGGAATAGAAAAGAAGGAGGAGGAGGAGGAGGAGGAGGCGGAGGCGGAGGAGGAGGAGGGGGAGGAGAAGGAGGAGGAAGAAGAGAAGGACGAGGAGGAGGAGGAGGAGGAAGAAGAGAAGGAGGAGGAGGAGGAGGAACAGCATATCTTACACAGCTCCTTGTCCCCT